TTAAAACTCCAGATGGTGACTCTATGTTTCAGCACTCTTCTGGAGCAGAGCACACCACTGAATTACTGTGGATGTTTGGTAGCAGCCTTTGCTGCCACCCTTCATGAAGCATATCTGGCTGGCACCATGGCAGGAAAGACTGGCAAAAAAATGTTCGGTGTCGACAAAAAGTTGACACAAGCAAACTGGTAGGAACAGACCAGAACAAAATATAGGCTAGGAAGGAGATGACCGTTTATAGAGGAGTCCATCAGAGGAGTGATGTTCTGGAACAGGCTGTCAGTGATGATGTCTACACTACCAAGGCAAACCAAGACCAGTGGACTGAAGGATCAGAATGGTGGTGCTAAGGATGCAGTCTCCACACCATACATACTTCAGGTACTTTAATTCAGAGTCTGGTCTTGTGCTGAATGCCTATCACTGACCAGGAGAAACCACTCAGTGACAAAGTATTGTAGTGAGGAAAATTGGGATATTTACTTCAAAAGCACAGTCCTAATCTGAACTTCAACACTAGCAGATACACACCCAGCAGGACCAGTGTGGCCAGCCGAAAGACCTGCATAACACAGCTGACAGTTGGAGCAGAGATGCCAGGGAGGGCAGGCAATAGCACACGTTGCAGGGGACATGGCTACCAACTTGCCCAACCCCTCACACTCTCACATCTGAAAGGACAGGACCATCATTCAGGGTGCAGCTGACAACAGACAGGTGACCCCTAGTATGAATCCGTTCGTCTGTATGAAATGACTTAACTGCTCCTCACAACAGTTGCACCAACAGCAACTGCATACTTAGATGTTTTCATAAACACACACTAGTCTGGACTGTGCTACTGGAGCCACCTGCCTGTGCCCCATACTTTCCCCTCCCCTCCTCTCATCCTGGATGTCTCAGCATATAGAGACTATCCTCGCTAACCTCTCCTTTCGTCCTTGGATTTGTCTGTGTGATGGAATACAAAGCATCAGTAACCAGCTTTGAACTACCACCTTCTCCCGCTGAGTCTGAACTCTGCTTTCCATTTCAGCAAATCGCAGTCCCTGACAAACACCTTCAGCATATCTGAATCATCTCAGCGAGGAAATGCCAATGAAGATGAAGCAAAAGCTGAGACCATCCGCAACCTGAGGAAGTCATTTGCTAGCCTGTTTTCCGATTAACAGTCCTGCAGCCGGATCCGTCCTTTTGTCAGCCCTCACTCTTCGTAACAACGTATCTGATGTCATCCTGGAATACACTCAACGGCACCCAGCGATTTACAACTAATACCTGGGTAAAGGGAATTTAGAAAACTATAGTTGTTTTAATACAAAGAAAATATTCTAATAAGGGTCTGAAAAGTGACTGTATAGAAGTGGCACTATTTCATTGGTATTTGTGCATAATCAGAATCACATCCGTTCAAATGACTGAGCTGTAAATCAAATTCTACTCTTGCTAACCCCTGCCGAGTCACCATAGTTATGACAGTGCAAACTAGATTTTATTTTGATTTGTATATAGTCAATACAATTGCTAACTTCCAATTACTTAATCCTTGTTGAGGTCGAGAGAAAAAAAAAAAAAGCTTATTTCAGAAACAGATGTACAAAGATGGAGTCGAGAATAAGTATTCATTGACTGATAAAGTGAGCATGCATGAGCATGGAAACACAGTGAACTGTGGAATTTCATACCAACTTTCTAATAAGTCACTTTTCAGAGCAAAATTACCTGCAAGTTAAATACAGTACCAGGCACCAGTAAGCACCAAAGATCACACGAGCAGGTCATCCAGATGGACTGCTGGTTCGTTCCAGATCACTCTGCTCAAAGCAGATAAAACATCTTCATTTCATGACTTGCATTTGTGTCCCCTGCATGTGATTCCCAAGTTCTGAGAGAAAAATGTCATGTTCTAACCCTGTAGCCTTAGCTCAAAAATAACCTGAGAAATGGGCCTTCCACACAAAAAACAACTTCTTCCCCCGCCCCTGGAAACACCACAGTTCATGTTCACAGGTCACACAAATTCCAAACAAAATCCAGCTAAACTCCAAGCACTTTGGTGACTTGGTCACATCTGGCTAAGTATGTCCCCCAGGAACATGCTTAATTAATAGCAGAGCTGATGAAGTGCGCATACTTGTGTGCTGAGTGTTCCATAATACTGAACGGACAGAAACATGAAGTGAAATCGTGTCTCCCTCCTCGGAACTCCCATTGACTTCACTGGGGTAAACGAATGCAAGGTGACAAACCTGCAAAAAAATAGGAAAACTATCCTTTACAGACAAAATGAGCTGTGGTCCATCCAGAGGCACCAAGCCATGGGAGCGCAAGTATGGGACTGCCCCAAGCAGGTATGATCAGTATTAGTCCTCCCTAACCACCCCCAAGAATTATTCTTCCAGAGAAGATGGATCCTTCCAGGTGTGCTTTTCCTCTAAGCCTGCAACACAGAATGAAGCTGTGTATGAGTACATATACTAGAACCAGGACAGAAATGACACAAGCTACATTCACGACTGAAAAAACCCACCATGGGTAAATCAATGTATCTATGGCTATTTCTGCCAGCTGAGAACCTACCCCTTGCGCTGTGCCAGTTCTATTCATAACACACCTAATGCAGGTCCCAGTCTCCATCCCACCGCCTTGACTTCTCTTCAAGTTTTGTCAAGTACTTTAGTCACAAACCCTGCGTACAGCTCCAAGGCCAGACGTCTGGCCTTGTGTTTTCCTTAGTAGCTTCACCTTGATGACACTTACGAACACAGGGAGGCCAGTAAGTTCAAAACATCTGAGCCAACAGCAGAGATATTTGCTGTCACTTAAACAGGGAGACCCCCAAAGCAGCAACAGCAGCATTTGCCATCTTGGGTCTTATGATTCACTGGCAGGAATAAAGCCAAACAAGCAATTCCTTCCTGTATAGCACCTGTAATGAACATCTAAATCCAATGCAGTCATCTGGACCCTGTATGACCTACCCCCGAGCAGGCCTTTGCACATATAATAGCTTTTGTGATCTGTGCACTTTCAGGCAAGTCACAGCACAGCTTTTCCAGGCTGCAAGGCTCTCAAGAGACTCATGTGGATCTATGATTTATACATCAAGTTCAGTATTACAGAACCACCCTATTCCCTGATGATTTTTTTTTTTTTCTTCTTCCCTTTTTTTCCCAGTTCTGTGTTGTCCTTCCAGGTTTGCTATGCAGTTTACAATGTAGCATCATAAATACATGTCATTGCCTGAGAAAAAAAAAAAACAGACCCTGCTGTTTTGCAGTCTCCAGGAGCAATAAAATAGTGACAAATGGCCTTGAGCAAGCACTGTCCCGCTGGCAAGAACAATAGCAGATTAACAGGCTCCACTATATGGAGAGGAGGCAATACAGCCCTGGTGGGAAAGGATTTCCTTCTATAACACTTCCCTCAGCATGCTTTATGCCTTTCCTTACTAATTGGTCACCAGAGATACAAAGACAAAAATAAAAGTTTACTGCCAGAATCCTCAATTGCTCTATCCCTTGAATCTTTTTATGCCTCTCTTACCAACACAACCTATTCAAAAAATAAGTAACTAGTGACTAGTATGGCGTGGCCCCATGAATCAACCCCACTTCATCACCGAAACCACAACAGCTGGATCACTTGCTGATGCTGCATTTGAACACAGCAGGGCTGTCCTCCAACGGACCACACTAACAGGAGAGCACTGCTGACTTGATACCCAGCAGTGACTCAGATCTCATCTGTCTGCAGCTCCCAGCTGTCGTCTTTTGAGGGACAAGCGAACACAATGGCATCTCCCCTCCTCCTAGTTCCAGCTTGCAAAAACATGTAGAACAACAGGCACTCTCAGCTTAACTCTGTCATTCCTACAGTTCCTGAAAAGCATCTTCAGTTCTATCCACAAAAGTGCTTTAATGGAGAATAGAGTTACTTCCCAAGTTAAAATTCTGAAACTCTACACTGTGTCCTACAAATGTTCCAGCAGTACACTTCAGTCTGTAACTATGATGCTGTGGCTAGCAGGAGATTCACAAATGCACTGTCATATATTCAGGTTAATGCCTTTGATGCAGGGTTTCTATTCCAAACTCCCTACGCCCTAATAAAGACAAACAGAGAGGGAATACAAGGGGTATATTCTCCATTTTATGAATGGGGAACTAAGGTATGCCCAAGAGGTATTTAGGTACTCAAATATAACAGCTGGAGTTTGGGGCAGTGAGAAGGCAACAGAAAAGTTAATTAAGAGATGTTCCACTTAAATCACAGGCAAGACATGCCCCACAGCATGCCCTGAGATCTTTTTCTCACAGCTGTGAAAGTTAAGCACCTGGTCAAATCTTTCCTTTTGTCCTGCATGCTTTAACTTTCTTCACATGGAAGCCAGGAAACATGAATAGATTTGTGCATTCGGATCCAGCCCAAGAAGGAGCTGGGGCACAGCTAAGACACCCACTCTTATCCAACACCTGGAAAATTCATTTACATATTGCTGTTTAGATACAGACTGAGAAACATCTTTACTTTCTTGTAATATCTAGGTGTGGTATTTCAAGAGGAAACTCATGTTCCCATGCAACTCAACATCCTGCATAAAGCTAAGGCTCAGAAGAATAGCAGTCCTGCTCCAGTAGCTGCAACGGTATTTTCTTATCTTTCATTAATCACAGGCAAGTACATAAGACCTTACACTGCATACGAACCAGTTACTTCATCTGGTTAAGTTTCATGAATAAGATAAAACAATAAATAGAACAGCCAAGAACAATAGTTCCTTATTTGCAGAAACTTGTTAGTAGCAACCATAACCGTACTGGATGCAGACGAACAGTACAGGTAAGAAATGCCCATCTTCAGCCATTTCATCTTTTGTGACTTCTATAGAGTTTGCAAATCACAACGACACACATACCTGGCTTAGGAAAAGCAGGGGCTAGTTACAAAGTAAGTAGCTAGTTTTCAAATATTTCCTTTGTTTTGTCTTCCAATCTTATACTGCTGGTTCCAATATATTCACTTTATATTTCACATCCTGTTTTATAAATAAAAGGGACTTGTATTTAGGGAACTTGACAGTTCAGGATAAGTCAGGTTCCTTTATCTTTGGCTCACAACATCTTTACTACAATGTGAAGGAACAACAAAGAGAGGGAAGGAATATCTTCAGGTCACTTAGCGGTAAATCTGTAAAAAAGTTAACTTCTTCAAAAACAAACATTCAAATGACAAAATCCAGGATAAACAGAATCTGTGGCATCATCCTGGCAGAAGTATGACAAGCTTGTGTTCATGGCAGAGAGGGCCCAACTCCAAAGCAGCATGGGGCATGCCAGCAGAGCAAGAAACATGACTGTCATCAAGGCAATGGTAATGCGAGTACCATTGGTACCACAAAATTAACATCTCACACACATAGAGATCACTGTTCCCAGAAACAGCTTGAGAAAAGTTACAAATTATTTTATCAGTTAAAGCTGTGTAGCCTTATCTGAATATTATGTATGCATTTCTGAAGCACTCATCACAAGTACAAAAGGATGCCAGATCAAAGCAGCATAATTTTTTTTTTTTCCTTTTTATAGTCAGCAGAATATAAAGAATCACTTAGCTCTAAGTGGCCCAACTATACTCTTATTGAAAACTCTGCTGGAAGAAGGCAATTCACTGCAGGCAAATGTTAAAAATTAAGGCTAATCTGGGTACTGAAAGCAAACCACTGTCCTCAGACTCTATAAATACACTCTCAGGTGTTTCATCATGGCACGATTTGCACTGGTATGCCATTGCTGTGAATTAGAAAAGGGAAGAAAGAAGAAAAACAACTTTTGACAGCAAAATAAAGTATTATATTTTACTTCCACTGGAGTTAATAGCAAAACTTCCTAACGCTACTGAAGTCAGCTGATTTTATACAAAACAAGAAGATGAATCAGTGAAATATCACCTGAAAAAGCACACAAGCATTACCGATTAAAGAGCTTGTATTTAATAGGAAATGTCATTCCATTTCCACTCTTGGAAATTCAAAAATATTTTAGAAAATAGTATCAGCTATCACAACAGTCATCAGTACCATTCACATTTACAGAAACACTGAGATCAATCCATCTTCAAAAAATATGTAAGAAATGAAGAGTTTCATCAAAGTTTAGTCATTCCAGTCTTCCTTTAATTGAGCTCCAGCATCAGCCTGCAGATCTCATCAGGACACTTTAACAGTGGTCTTGTTAGATGCTCATGAGTTATTAAGACAACACTTGAAAGGTGCTCATAACATGCTACAACACATTTCCTCTTGGCAAGATATATTTTGATACTTAGGTAATGGAATTAAGTGGAATTTACTGCAGTAAAGTGAGAGAATTCATCCTGCTTCTCCTGCTGTGATCCCATTTCCACTGCAACCAGGTCAACCTATTTAATGCCTTCAGTTAGGTGAGAGGAAACATTTATTTTTGCACCAGTGTTAGCTCACACACAGTAAATGCAGCCATGTACTACAGCTCCTTATTTGTAAAGTCAAGGAGAAAGACAAAACTTTTGCTGCTGGTTCTTTGTAAAATTGCTCTGCTTCTGTTCAGAATTCTGAGTTGCACTGTAGCATGACTTTGCTCAGTTGTTTGTAAAATGAATTGATATGTGTTCTAATATTTCCATTGTAAAGAAATTCCCTTCCCTGTATTCTTTGTGTATTAAGTAACAATACAAAAATGCTTTTTACCTAATAAAACATTAAAGGAAAAAGGGAATGTCATCTTTGAATATTTCTACAAACTCACATCTACCATAACAGCGGTAGCATCCTGTTCTATTTGGAACACGGTAGGTTTTTTTTGTTGATAAAGATTATTAGCCAGGCAGATTTGAAACAACATCATTTTTCCCAGCAATTTAATAAAACTCTTCAAATAAGACAAACAAGTATACGGTTTGTATTTAAAGTGCTCTTTATCTGACGCAGTAAGTATTTGGCCGGTATCCTTCTGGTCTCTAAGTAGCACTTCACAGATGATTAAGGGCAAGGGAAGCAGAACAAACTGTTCTAAGTTGTAGCTCCTTGTGAAATAGACCTTAGTGCCAGGTGGTGCAGTACTACCAGAGCATAAAACAAACCCAGCCTTTGTGGTTGAAACATTACCATGCACACATGGTCTTACCACAATCGGAAGA